CCGGTACGGGGGCAACACTGAGGGTTGCGATCCGTTGCCGGACACGGAAAAAGACAAAAGACAAAAAAAAAAAACTCCTTGAGGGCAGGGAGGGAATCCATTTTATGCATCTTTGTATCTACAGTATCTAGCTAATAGCAAGTGCTCAATAAATGATCTGGAATAAAGCAAAGGAGATTTTCTTTATCAAGTTGTGATTTCTCAGTAGTATTGCCATCTCCTTTTTTACAGTTGCATTTTTGTCTGTATAATCAAGATTAGTCATTCAGTTTAGAGTATTTTCTCCTTTGAGTAGTGCCGAGATCTAATTCTTAATTTTGATAATTTTCCTGTTCTTTGGTCTGCTGCCTCTCACCATTCAGATGTATTATGTTAATTAAATTATAGCATATTTTACCACAGCACAGCCCAGAGTAGGCCTTCCACAGATGTTTGTTAAATCAAATAGTTAGATTTTAGTATCTGTAAGATTTGGTGACTTCCTGGTCTCATTAGCAGCTTTTATTTTTAAACCTTCTTCCCAAATTCTGAGGACATACCTTACTTGCCACTACTGTTCACAGATTACAATATGTACTTTGGATGCATACTACTTGTTTTATTTGAGTTCCTACACTGGCTTTCTATCTTGATACTTTTATCCAGTTGATTTTATGTATAAGGTAAAAAAAATAATAATAAAAAACCTTGATTTCTTTGCCTTGTTTTTCTAGGCTTCTCAATGTGTATATTCTAGGTTCTCAGTCTATGATAGAGGCCTTTTAAAAAATGATTTTGGGGCTGACCCATGGCTCATTCAGGAGAGTGTGGTGCTGATAACACCCAGGCCATGGGTTCAGATCCTATATAGGGATGGCTGGTTAGCTCACTGGGTGAGCATGGTGCTGACAACACCAAGTCAAGAGTTAAGATCCCCTTACTGGTCATTTAAAAAAAAAAAAGACTTTGCATACTAAGGGGGAAATTTATCGCATTAAATGCTTACTTCAGAAGAATGGAAAGATGGCAAATAAACAACCTAACACTTCACCTTAAAGATCTAGAAAAACACGAACAATCCAAACCCAAACTTAGTAAATGGAAAGAAATAATTGAGATCAGAGCAGAACTAAATGAAATAGAAACCCCAAAAACAATACAAAAGATCAATGAAACAAAAAGTTAGTTTTTTGAAAAGATAAATAAAATTGACAGACCTTTAGCAACACTAAGAAGAGAGAAGACCCAAATAACAAAAATTAGAAATGAAAAAGGTGATATTACAACTGATACCTCAGAAATACAAGGAATCATTAGAGACTACTATAAACAACTATATGCCAACAAATTTGAAAATCTGGAGGAAATGGATAAATTTCTGGACACATACAAACTACCAGAACTGAGGCAAGAAGATATAGAAAATCAGAACAGATTAATAACAATAAAAGAGATTGAAGCTGTTATCAGAAGTCTCCCAACAAAGAGAAGCCCAGGACCAGATGGGTTCATTGCAGAGTTCTACCAAACCTTCAAAGAGGAACTGATACCAATTCTCTACAAACTGTTCCAAAAGATTAAAACAGAGGACATTCTCCCAAACTCATTCTATGAGGCAAACATCACCNGATTCATCCCAGGGATGCAAGGTTGGTTCAACATATGCAAATCAATAAATGAGATACACCACATCAATAAAAGCAAAGACAAGGGCTGGCCCGGTAGCGCACTGGAGAGTGCACTGCTTGGGAGCACAGCGGCGCTCCCGTCGAGGGTTCGGATCCCATGTGGAGACCGGTTCCCGCTCACTGGCTGAGCGCGGTGCGGGTGCAACACCGAGGGTTGCGATCCTGCTGGTCCCCGGTACAGGCGTGACACTGAGGGTTGTGATCCCGTTACCGGTCAGTAAAAAAGGCAAAAAGGAAAAAAGAAAAAAAAAAAAAGCAAAGACAAAAACCATATGATCATCTTTATAGACACTGAAAAAGCATTTGACATAATTCAACATTCATTCATGACAAAGACTCTCTATAAATTAGGTATAGATGGAAAGTATCTCAACATAACTAAAGCCATATATGATAAACCCACTGCCA